ACCAACACCAACACCGTCACCAACACCAATATCACCACAATAACCACCGCCACCACCACCAACAACATCAACACCACCAACACCGCCACTAACACCACCACCATAACCACTGCCACCACCAACAACAACATCAACACCATCACCACCACCACCAACACCACCAACACTGCCACCAACACCAACACCGCCACCACCACCACCACCAACACACACACACTCTCTCTCTCTCTCTCTCTCTCTCCCACCATCTCCCCATTTCTCTCCCTCTTTCTATCCCTACCATGTTCTCTCCCCAAATCTATCCCTCTCTCCCTCCCTTTCTTTTCGTTTCTTCACCACCATCCCTCTTTTTCCCCCACTCCTACCGAATAAAAAGAGCCATAATATATGTAATGCCTTCGTTTCAATACCTTAAAAGTCATAGTCGTGCTAGTGATTTCGTAATTCAACAGCAAGTAGTTGGGTACATAATATTGTGAAAAGTAAAGGGCCTAAAACTGAACCTTGTGGAACACCCGACTTAAGCATGCCATTTTAAAGTACAAATATTTAAAAGAAACATACACAAAACACACCAGATAGCAAATAAAGCACCAAGAGACGAAGAGTTTACGATGGTGTAAACATTTATTTCAAGATAGTAATGCAACCTTACCTCTTTACAGATAAACAGAAAGAAAAAAAAGATTCTTCCATTGATTTTAAAAAAAATTAATGTAGAATAACCAAAGTAATCTATTTCCACTTCCATAATTTGCAGAGTTCTTCTTTAAACAATATCAATTTTCCAAATATGTACATAATGGCCTTTGGCTGTGGAATGGGTTTTAGTGCGGTGAGCGGTTTTTTTTCCTATTTTTTTCTTTTTTTTTTGTTTGTTTGTTTAAGAAGTGGGATCCCCGAACATAAGGGAAAACGCATAATAATATTATGATTAAATTACCAGTCCTGTCTTGTTCCATGATGATGACAAGGATTGTTCATTGATGGAACAGCGTAAACGTCATGGCGGGATGTACACTACCCTAGCATTACACAGTTCTGTCAGTTCACTATCTAGTTTTGAGACTTTGACGTTAAACAATTTGTCTTTCACAACCAGTCAACCTTTTGCAGAAGCAATTCTTTGACTCTCATGATAACGACTCAGAATAATCTTACGATTTGTGTAGAGCAGACAGAAGGTTTCTGACCTCATGGTATTTGTAACTCAAAACGGCCAAAAATGTCAGTTAGAACTTTGTAAATTCTAAGGTAGAGAGTTGTACATTGATGGAACAGCCGAGATGTCATGGGGGAAGTTGTTCATTGATGGAACAGCCGAGATGTCATGGGGGAAGTTGTTCATTGATGGAACAGCCGAGATGTCAAGGGGGAAGTTGTTCATTGATGGAACAGCCGAGATGTCATGGAGGGAGTTGTTTATTACTGGATGTCACACACGTTGAACTTCCATCGGCGATCCCTGTAAGATTGAACGTGGTTTGTAGGAGGGGGTGGCATTGAGAGAGAGAGAGAGAGAGAGAGAGAGAGAGAGAGAGAGAGAGAGAGAGAG